ATATGAATAGTGTCGAATGGAGTATCAACTTTATGGATAGGATGTAAAAATCCGGGTTTCTTTCCGCCAGGAGTTTTACTATATGCACATTCTAGACAAGAGTTTATATATTTCGTGACAAAAACTCGCATATCTGGGAACCAATAATGAGATTTGATGCGTTCTAAAGTTTTGTCAATGGCAAAGTGACCTATATCATCATGGTTTTGTTTGACTATTTGCCAGTGGACGCCTTTAGGCACAACCCATCTATCCCCTTCAGCTGTAATTCTAAAAAGTTTACCTGTTTTTAATTTGTAATTGTTTTTTATGTCTACAATGTCATTAAATTCAGGATTAGATAAAATCCCACAAATTCGTTGTATCTCGGAATCCGAGTTTTGAACTGTGGAAAGCCAATCACTTTCAGTCACTGCATTAACGGTTCTTTCAGATTGGGTTTTATCGTAGGTAGATGGGTTGCGGCTCAAAGCGTCCACATGTGCCATTGATGTTCCAGCTCTATACTCTATTTCAAAGTGGAATTCCTGCATCTGACTCCACCAACGCGCTACGCGAGGGATCATATCACGCTTCATAAAGGTTGCTCTTATCGAGTTGCAATCAGTTACTATTTTAAAGTGAATTCCTACCAGGTACACTCGAAATTTTTGAAGAGAGGCTACGACGGCCAGGGTCTCCAAATCATAAGAACAATAGTTTTGTTCTTCTGGGCTGGTCTGTCTACTAAAATAGGCTACCGGTTTTAAAACATTTTCGGGATCCCTCTGTAAAAGTATGCCCGCGATACCTATTTTGCAGGCGTCAGTATGCAATTCTGTTATGGCTTTGGGGTTGTACAGAGCTAATATTGGCTTTTGCACCAAGGCAGATTTCAGTGTATCGAAAGCATTTTGTTGATCAGGACCCCAAACCCAAGCAGCTTTGTCTTTGAGTAATTGTGTTAGTGGCTTTGCGATAATCGAGAACCCCTTCACAAATCTTCGGAAAAAACTAGCTAACCCCAGAAATTGTCGGACAGTATGTTTGTCTACTGGCGTCTTAAAATCTTCTACGGATTTTAACTTGTCAGTTCCCGGTTGGATCCCTTTACTTGAAATGATAAAACCTAAATAGTTGACAGAGCGCCCAAAGAAGACACATTTAGGTAATTTAAGGGTAAGATTTGCTTTGGCCAATAATAATAAAACAGACTCTAATCTATCCATTCCTTCCTTGATGGTTTTAGAAGGAATAATTATATCATCTAGATATGCCATTGCCTCTTTGTGACGTAAATTCCCTAGGACCTGGTGCATCATTCGTTGGAACGTCGCTGGGGCATTGGCTAGTCCAAAAGCCATCCTTTTGAATTCAAAGTGCCCCTCAGGCGTAACAAAAGCTGATTTATGTCTGTCCTGCTCCCTGATTGATATTTGGTAATATCCAGAAGCCATATCAAGGGCAGTAAAGAACTCATTTCCAGCTAATGCATCAATTTGGTCGTCTATAAGTGGCATGGGGTAGTTTTCCCTTACAGTTTTCTTATTCAGAGCCCGGTAGTCAATACAGAGCCGATATTCACCTGTCTTTTTCCTGACTAGAACAATAGGGCTAGCAAAAGGCGAAACAGAAGGTTGTATAATGTCATTGGTTAAAAGTTCGTTCACCATTTCTCTAACTATTTCCTTTTCCTTCATAGCTAATCTATAAGGTCTGTACACCACAGGCTCACTATTATGCAAGTCAATATTCATCTCACAAACTGAGGAGTGTCCTAACTCGGAAAGCGAAAAAGCAAAACAATGCCGATATTTGTTAAGCAATGCTAATAAGTCATCAATCGCAGTTTGATCTAAATCATCTGATATATTTAAATCAGAGGCGAGGATCGGACTCATTGGTTGATCCTTAGATTCCGAAACACGTAAAATATTGCAGTCGCTTTCTAAGTTCGCAATAATACCTCGGGTGACTAATGTGTCCTTTTTAAGATACAAAGGCTTAGAACTAAAATTGTTAATAATTATCTGCCCAATGCCTTCGTTACCAAATTGGAAAATTCCCTCCGGAATGACATAAGTATAGTCTGAGGTTATACGCAACCCTCCAACTACATAAAGTTCCCCCTTGTACTTAGGCTCAGTATAAACTTCCAAAATACGTAAACCATTCACTTCAGTACACTCATGACTGAAGATTTTGACTTTGTTAGAACTAGTTATTATTTCATCAGAACTATTGTACAAGATATCAAAATGTTTCCCATTTTTATGAATCATTACATGCGGCTGTTCGGTAAAAGTCTGACCTATCATAAGGGGTACATTCATAACATTATCAGGTACCACGAGTAGTTCTACGTTAGCTTTCACTCCATCAATTTCTACATCAGCATTTATTTTACCCAAGGAATGGACAACAGAGTTTCCGAATCCCCTCAATATAGGCAGATCATTATCATTTACGTGAATATCTCCTAATTTGTGCAACTGCGATTGTTTGACCATACAGCATTCGCTACCGAGATCTACAAATGAATCCATATCTACCCCATTGACACGAACATTCTTATAATATTTATCTGAATTTTTACTACTATTGGCAACTCTATTAACTGATTTAGAATTTTCGGTTTTTAAAGTAGCAGGCGGTTGAGGATTTTTAGAATAACATTGTTCAGCTTCATGACCGATCCTTTGACATTTAGTACATTTCTTTAAAGGGTCAGGACATTGACGTACAAAATGCCCCTCTTGTTTGCAGTTATTACATCGTTGAATTTTATCTTTAAGACCTGAATGCTTAATTTGAGATTCAGATACAACAGACTGATTTCTACTAGCTATTTTACGATCCGGGTTGGCCTTCACATTCCGGGAATTTTTCAAATAACTTAGCAATTTGTCAAGGTCCTCATACTGAGCTGCCTCTGCACCTAGCCTGACTGCCCTATCATCTATGCCGTGCAAAACGCATTCTACTGCCCGCTTGCCAGTTATATTACACCGATTAATAAGGGTAACCTTTTCATAGAAATAATCCTCAAGAGAATCATTAAAACGAGCACGCTTAGCCAACATATCTGCCAGCATCTGACCGTAGTTTTCCTCGGAAGGAAATGCGGACAGTAATTTTGCCTGCCACTCGCCCCAAGAAAAGAACACCGATGGCAATCCTTCATACCAACGCTTCGCGATACCTTGAAGTTTTGGAATAGCATAGTGGACAATTTGCTTTTCATTCCACGAATACCACTCAGCGGCTTCGTTAACTTTGCGTATCCACATTGCCATCGTTTGTTCCTTCCTTGCAGGATCAAATTCAGGGACACTATCTTTAAAAGAGCTTATTTTATCATGATCCGGAAACAGAGATTTTAATGTTTGTAATAGCGCAGGTAATTGATTTAATAATAATGGATCATCGCTGCCAATGTTTGGAACAGTGGTGTTACCTATTGATCCTGAAGTAGAAGCACGTGGCTCTGGTGCCGCTATTGTGATCCGCCGCTTCTCTGGACTGCGTCGCACGCTGTGAAGCCGACTGCTGTGATCGCTGCGTCGACTGGTGCTGCGGCAACCTTTGCCACGCGGCGAGTAGTGACGCACTCGCCGAGAGCTTCGCCCTCCATGACAATCATCAGGCTGTCTGCCCGACGATCGATCACGTAGCGGACTACGTGACCGCTGGTTGCGTGATTTGCTCCTTTGCGAATCACTGTCACGAGTTGGGCTGCGTAGTCGCCGGCTAGCATGCCGACGCGTGGACGGACTCCGCGGCCGCTGATCCACGTGATTCTTTACAGGGCTTCGTGAACGGCTGCGGAGCTGCGAGCTCCTTGCTGGGCTGCGAGGCGAGCTGAGCACTCGACCATGTCGTGTTCTCGGGGTCCCTTTGGCCACGCTGCACTTACTCCGCAGATCGCTCCCTAACAGTGGGGATTTTGTTCGCTTATTGTCCATTTTCCCTGGTAAAAAAATAATAACAAGTATACGGTGGAAGAGGAGAAAAAAAAAATTAGAAAAAAAAAATAGGCTACTAATCCCACTTCTGAGATGTGAAATAAAAGACCTTAATCAATTTCAATAAGTGTAATTATGCAGTATTCTTTCAATTACATCATTAAATTCATGAAGAAATCATAAAATAATAACAGTCAAATATCAGAAAATAGGCAAGTTTTAAAGGAAATTTACCAATAATTTAATTAATTATTTTTTTATATATGGATACCTCATGCATGTACAAATATCACAAAAATTTAATGTAAATAAACATAAATTTAGCAAAATATAAAAAATAGAACAATAATAACCACTTACAATCTTAGGTGTTGACTGCACGAACATCGGGAGCAAAAACTGAACTCGGCAATGGCGGCATCTCCGCTTTTATACAAAAAGGGCGGGGATGACACTACCCCCGAGACTCGACATAAAATTAACGTGAATTTACTTTGACCGACTGTTATAAATCTTAATTGTATTTTTAATTATATTTGCAAACAAGTACGAGTTTTGTTAACCTGTCTAACAATCAATAGTTGCCAATTGTTTAAACCGATGAACGGATATGCATTTTAAATAACACGACTGTTGAGAAAACGGTTAGGCCTTTCAAATAATGCGTTAGTTGACACTAATATCAATTGTTTTCGTCTAACGCGCTGACGAACGGACAGATGGACATGGCGAAACGTTAAGAGTTCCCTGTTGACTACGGAACTCTAAAAACCGTAAAACTAAAAGTGAAGGCGACTTTGTTTGATAAAAATCGGAAAAGTATTAAAGATAATAAACTTAAAAAGCGAAAATCCCGTTTTTTCATCTTTCAATTTCACTTCATCTATCAATAACAGCTAAATGTAACGCTCTATAAATAATTCCCCATTAAATTATTTTATTACTTAAGCAAAGGGTAAGAGCGAGATATTTCCATTATATGTTATTACACCATTAGACTCATACATGTATTTCTATTAACTAATTTAAGATTTTTTTTCTATATATATATTCCAGGCATCATGCGCAGCTTATACACTGATCCTGATTTGATAGCTGACTACATACCCGTTGATTTCTCCATCAAGAGTATCATAGCTGCTGCATGGATAAGAGGCACCAAGAAGTAAGTAACAGTTCCACATCAAGGATATATATGTTTTATGGGCTTTCGAACTTAGTGTTCGTACCAGTCCAATCTTAACCAAATAACAAATATAAGATCTATATCTATGGTAACAGAACTTTGTATACCATGTTGAATAACATTCTAGCTTCATCCGACAGCGGATGTGCTAGGATACTATGAAAAATACCTATGTCATTTTTATTTCTTCTCTGCTTCATTCTTAACACATTTTCTACAGTTGGACATTTATCTTTTGGCAGATTACACAATTGGGATAATTGGTTATTTTCACAAAACACACTACATACTCGAATCTTTTTGTAAAGTCTATTTACTAAGATGCTCGTTTACAATATATTTCTATTATATTTTATCAATTTTGCATTCACAATGCTATACTGAGACCTCAGAGTGTCAGGGATAAATTAGATTTTTTAATCATTTTTCATCAAGAATATCTGTCTAATTAGTTTCCGTGAGCGGTTTCACCTGTATTATACAAATATTACATTCAAAAAAGTAGCTTTAAAGTATTCTGAAATCTTTTTTTAAGCATAATGCTTTCTATTCCTTAGATGAATTTTTAACTATGCGAACTATTTTTATATAAGCGAATCTACTTTTATAACATGATGAAATAAAATCTGTAAGATTTTTTTTAGACATTTAGATTTAATTGAACATATGTATAAATAAAAAAATACTATGAATTGTGAACTGTCATACCTTGTATAACAATATAGCTATAAATGGCTAATAAATAAATTGAAATTGAACAATGAGCGGTTTCGGTCTTTGAACGTATTACATATAAACCTACCTCTTGAATCGCTCTGTATATTTATGAATACTGTATTAAAATCTGTTGTCTAATTTAAAAGATTTCAGCGTATAGACAGCGGGAATACACTTTATTAATATCTGTCATTATTGTGTAATTAAACGATAGTTCTATTGTCGGCTCTTTCAAATATTTTCAAAAGCATGAAAATTACTTCTATCAAATTCATAATAGTACAAGACACTTTCGGATCTTATTTCTATCATTAAATAAATCAAAATTTCAAACTTACTTGGACATAGTTATAATTTCGCACCCATAATTTAACCCTATCGCTGAGCTGTATCAGTGACAGATAGGTGAAAGATCAGAATTAATATATTGCATATAAAAAAATACATAAACAGAAGTAGATTAAGCTATATGACAAACGTTTCTACAATCAATAATGCTTAATTCCTACAGATTGAAGAAATTATATAATTTGTATTCTTACGTCCTATTGATTTTTCAGTGTTTATATCCTATAAATTAAACCATTAAATCTATCCTTAACAATATAATGAGGAAGGTATTCTTGTTTGTTTGCAATAATTAGGCAACATATTTGTATTTAAACAATTACTAATACTTGACAGTTTTACTTAGTAGTTCATTCTCATAATAATTGATTCCATAAAAATTTTGTTATTTAAAATTATAGGTTAGAACCAACAGACGATATTCCGATCTACAACTGCTGCGCGGGAAATCTCAATAACATCACAATGTTTGAGCTCGTGGATATCGGCAAACGATTGGCGGCCATGATACCTCTTGATGACATGTTGTGGAACGTCGGAGGATCCATTACTACAAGCAAAACTTTACATTATATTAAGGTGATTCTTTTTATAAACAATATAGGTCCCAATATATTGCCTTGAGGTCATTGTTGTTGCTGTAAATGAAAAAATCTCATTACTGCCTTAAATGAATAACGTTACATAGTTTATTTTATGAATGTATCACAGAAACTATTCTAAAATTAACACCAAGAGTTTCACAATATCTTACAGATATGTAAGATATTGTCAAACGCTTTAGAAAATATTTGTATTTGAAGGAATGTATAAATATAAACATCTTACTTATATAAATATTTAATATTTAACTAAGTTACAATACAAAAGCTTTATTTCTTTTTGATGTTATTTTGCACAGATCAAAAACAAAATAAGATTGAGAATTTAACGCTGACAAGTAATCAAGACACCACCTACTGGTAGTCAGGCATTAACTTTTGAATTAATCACTCTTTTTTAATAAAAGAAAATTTATAAATATGTGCGCAGGTGTTGCTGATACATTGCCTTCCCGCCATATTAGTCGATGCATTGCTACTTATATTAGGAAAGAAACCAATGTGAGTAACAACATATAAAGATTTTTCTTATTATTCTTATAAATCATTATTGTATTAAAAATAAATATACAATACCATATAAAAAACCCCTTTCGGTCTTCGCTTAACCGATTAATAGGCTAGCAAGATATGGGTTATTTAAAACATAAGGGTGGAATAATAATTATAAATTGGCACTAAAAGACCGGCTCTTAATTAATATTTCTATGTTTCTCTTCTTCCTCAAATCGTCACAGAAGGATAATTTTTGTTAATATAATTTCAGGTTATTGAAAGTCCAAAGACGCATTTACATAGCAAACTTAGCGCTCCATTACTACATAACCAAGCAATGGACGTTCGATAACAAAAACTTCGTCCTGCTCCGATCCCGTATAAAGGAGCAAGACAGAAAGCAATTCTATTATGACATCGAAAATGTGGATAAAGAAGAATACTTCCGGAAATGTTGTATCGGAGGAAGGAAATATTTGCTGAAAGAGAAAGACGAAGATTTGCCAAAAGCCAAAGCTCACTTTGCCAGGTAAAAGAACTCTATAAGCTATGTATTATGTCCGAGAATTTAAAATGTATGTTATTAACAGTTAAAATGTTATCTTCGTTAAGTATATAGAAGCTCAGTGTATATCACACTAGCTTTCTTCCTGCGATTTCTTCCGCATAAATTATATTATGTATAACCCGCGTATGATGTAGCTTCCCGTAGGTAAAATGATTTTTGAAAACAAATAATCTAATCCTTCATCTTCATTATATTACTATAGATAACAACAATCTCTGGCATGATTTCGTGAATTTATTATAGAGTGATTTATGTAATTTTGCCAACTATATATGAACAGCAAACCAAAAATGTTGAATCTGTTTTTTCCCATTTCTGAGTATGGAAGAAAAATTCTTAAAAAATTACCATTCGCAAAAGCTCAAGATGGTGTTTGGAACCTTTTTTTTGCTGGAATATTTTTTTTGCAATCCAGCTGACTTTTCTAACCAAATGAGTTTTCCGAAACCAATGGTAGCTTAGCACCGGACACCTGAGCCTTGCATATGTAAAATTATTCAAACAAAAGACTTCATGAGTTTATAAATAGCATTTAACGTATAGTTGTTTATAATATTAGCTTATTTGCTGGGTATTTTACACACAGTTTAGACTTAATAAATGATATTGAATGTTTGTTTCAGAATGGTGATACTGGACAAATGCGTACAGATATTATTTTACGGATATTTAGTCTGGTTAATTTTGAACATCGGGTGTATAAAGAATGGGCTAAAATTTGTGTATGATATATTTTTGCTTTGATAATTGGTGTGTTGAAATCTTGATTATTGATGTTTGTAATAAAAATTAATATAAAATTATATTATTTTATTCAGAAGACGAATTACACAGAGAAATTTGCAAAATTAATTGCTTACGTAGAGTCGCAATACCGTTTCGAAAATAAACTAAGTTTCGTTATCAGAGAAACAGAGTAGGCTTTCAGAATTTGATTTGACTGCGTCCATAAACGCTTACTTTCTTGGTATTTCAAATGAAATCTGAGTTAAGATTTCGCATTATTCACTTCCCGATAAAATAGAAGATAAATATCAAAGCTTTATCAGAGAGGGCATTCCGTGTATATAGAAAGGACTTCAGGGAACTGTCCTGGGATTATTTTAAATATTGGTGAATATTTTCGGAGATATTACTACCTACTCCCAACACTTTGAAATCTCATTTTTGTGTCCATCAATCCAACAGCGTCACCTTGTAGAACATTTCTTAATTTATTAAGTCCTTAATTTGTAAGTAAGTTATTAACAGGAAAAATTGCCAAGGTAGAAAGTTATGGAGATAAATGAATGACTTGGCCTTAACTCGACAGCGGCAAAGGCTGACCTCTGTGTTAAGAATTACTCATATATTTATCTTTTCTCCGATCTGGGACATAACGGTGTTAATGGTCAAAGAAATAATCCTACTGATTTGCCGTACCTACTGATTTCAATACATCAGTTCCACAAGTATCCCACTTCATTTCTTAAGACAATTAAAGTCATTAAAACTACGCATGAAGAAAAAATTATATCGAATTCCAGAAGATACATATGTGCGAAACTTTGTGTGTGTGTCTGTTACGTACTCACGCCATTCATTTCCACAGATATAGTGGACCTTGGGTAAAGACATGGGGGTAGTTTTCATCGCGAAAAATATGCTTAATTGATTTCCACAAACTCTAACCTACGGCCGGAAAGCTACTGTGTTTATCATAAGCAGTAGGTAGTGATTTCTTCCAGGCAACTTGATTGTATGAAGTGGTTAAAGGATAATAATACACATATTATTTGGAACAGTATCTTTATTGCGGGATATCGAAAGAAAACAAAATAATAATTAAAAAAAATACTCATTTTTTATTTTTGGAATTTCTATAAGTAGTTTACCACGTTACCAACTTAATGTGATAAAAAATTAACAATATTGCTAAGAATAATAATAAATATTTATTATTATTATAGTAAGATTTCAAAATAGGATTGTGATTATTAAATTAATTATAGATATTATTCGCTAATTATCGATTCAATTTAATTTACAGCATAATTTTCTACAGTATATTCGGCAAATAATATATTTAAAAATAATTGAAACATCGTATTTACAAATTAATAATATTAATATTTACAATAGAATAAGGTATTTTTTCTAATGAATTGAATATTATTATCACAATCACATCACATAATACAAATAAGAGAGCATTTTTTCTATAAATAATTTTGAAATAAATATTTAAAATATATATCTATTCTTATTATACTCAGTAATATTTTATAATGTACTTTGTCTTTTTAAGTGCTTTATGTAAATAAAAGAAACTACTTTGTTTAGAAAATCCGTTCCTAAATTTAAATTAAATTACAGGCTAACTCGTTCCTTCCATTAAAACAGAAAAAAGACAGCAACCACAGCAAATGAAGGAAAAAAGAAACATTAAAAAACCCTTTTTAAAGTTAAAATTATTACATTAAAATATTTAAAATTATGTAATATACTTCCGCATAGTTGTATGTATTCTGTCTTTGTTCTTTATAAACAGAAAAAAAGAAATTGTATTGTAATAAAATTTTATTTAGTGACTAGTTAAGATTGCTTTTTCAAAATATGAGTAATTTGAATGTGATTTAAGTAAGTTTCTTTATATTTCTTCTATATTAACTACTTAATTCTGAAATTTAGCAAATGCTATGCATAAAATTACAAAACTCACTGGCACAGAGGTTTCATCAAGGTATGTTTTTGCTTTATAGTATACAATAATAATAATAAAAATGTATAGTATGTATTACCCACTCATCAAACGTATATACAAAATGCACTTCATGCTAAATCCCATATGAAGTGCTTTTTATTGCTCGAGCATAGGAACTATATGAAAAAAGATGATATTTAAACAATAATAGAAAAATCCGGAAATGAATTATATGAAATTGAATATTTCAAATTTTCGATATCTTAAATTCTACATAATCTCAATTCTAATCAGGTAAAATGACGTCATCTATCGAAACGTATTAAAAATATTTCCTATTAATAATATCTCACATAATAGACGAAATGGCAAAATTGATATGGCCAATTGAAAACTTAACCTAAGAATTTGAGCAAAATTGAAATAATCAGTCATTAATTACAATAATATACATATTATTAGGCATATTAGTATAAATAATTACAAAATAACGAAATGTAGCAACATAGATTTGCTCAATTCATAACTGTAGAATACTATCACTTTATCTACAAAAGTAAGCAATGTAAAATCAACAAATACTTAACGACAGAAAGAAATTCATATATGGAAAGAGAAAAAAATTAGGCACACACTTTAAACTTATATGGAACTCGGTTAAAATCTTAGACATATTTATTAAAGTCTAACACAATTTATACTAGAAAGATGATGATACTAAAAATGCTTTAAGTACTTGAATGCCATATTTAAGCTATTGAGATAATGGAATAGGTGCTATTCCAAAAAGGAATTTGCAACCACAGACAAAGAAAATATAAAAAAAGCAACACATGTTTTGCTTTACACTCGGAATACTTTTATTGGTATTGGTTCTAAAATCTATCCAAAAATGATAGAAAAACGCGTACTGGTATTAAATATGTTTGTAACACAAGGGCGATAAGTGACGGTCGGTGTATTTTATAAAATTTGGCTCAAATAAAATTCTAGGACCTTAATGAACTAGAAATTTTAACTGGAGTTTTCATTGACAATGATATTATAGATAACACACCTTATACCATAAAAGTCCAACAGAGCTTCAGTTAATACAAGGTGAGACATTAAAACCAAGCTCAAGGAACGTATTAGATTTAGATTTAGTACCCGCATTACACCATAATTAAATCATGGATTTCATTGTTTAAGACAGTGTTAAGTGTCATCTCGTTATTTACGTAGACGTCAACATGAAACCTATTCCTCAGTTGGTTTTTACGAAATCAGCCAAGAAAGTAGCTGATCTACTCAACGTTTCTCCTCAACATCAATTCAATCAAAATTTAATCAATCTGCAATCAAACAAATCAAACTCTTAATCCGATATATGCAATAACTCATCATCAGGTCTAGAATCTAATTTCTTTAGTTGTTCCAGTCTATCGTTTTTAACCTCACGCTTTGCTTTACCATCGAATCCACTACCATCATCTACAACTTCCAAATATCTACATTCATCGTCACTATCGACTTGAGCTACGGCAGCATAACCATTTTCAACGTCATCATCTCCCGAATCACTTTTGTACGCATCATTCGATTTAGATTCGTTGATGAGTGAATTCTTTCTGTCGTTAAATATATTTTTGACATGTGTAAGTTCATCCCTAACTTTATCTCTGACACTTCCAACAGAATCATGCATTCTATCGCTAAGCTTATGACTAAGCTCTTTTATTCTATCTCCGTGCACTTTCAATAAAGACGGTCGCCTATCTGTATCGAATTGTGGATCTGATCCTTCTGATTCGGAGTCGTTCAGTGGTATATCGCAGTGAATACTTTCTTTACTCTTTCTCTTACCCTCCCTTTCTAGCCACACTTCTGTCCCGAGGAACATGTTGCGTTGTTTCTTCTGGTCGAATGTTTTGAACATGATTTTGAATGTTAGGATGTATACTGTAGTTAATATGAGACCGGAACCCGTTAAGAATAGGAGATACATCGACGCTTTTTCGACAACCGGCAAAATATTTAGGTAAAGTTTGAACCGTTCTTCCAAAGATGGTGTAAGGGAGTACATTCTCTGTGAAAGAAAGAGTAAATATGATTAGCATCTTGTTCAAAAATAGGTTAAATAGCAATTTTTACTGAATAGTTCTTGCAGTTGCAATGACTCATACTTACAATATCGAACCAAAGTAAAGGTAGGTACAGGTTGGCGAATCTCTCGGTGTTTTTAATACTGGAGATGTCAGAGAGAGCCATGTTGATTTGAAACTTCGCGCTGACGTCCAATGGAAGACCTGATTCAGGTTGGATCCAGTATCTGTTAGAAATTATAAGGGATTATAATATGAAACATAAAATGCTCTGTGCTTCGGAAGACATACTGTTGCTTCAGTTTTAGCTAAATGAACAGTTTAGATTCCCGTTTGTATGAATATTTTTATCGGTTACTTTTTATTGAGTGAATAAGTGGTTCAATATGATAAAGTTATTTGCTCACCTAGTTTCATGTTTCTCTTGATTAGGCTCGAGACCTTCAACCTTCTCAAAGAGGACATCTTCGCCTTTATAGAAATGAGGGTAAGAGAGAGCTATAGGGAACCCGTAGTAGCAGTCAGTTACATCTATCAGCCCATCCGGGAGACATTTACCTGGAAAGATATATTAATTACCTTGACTTATATTTCATTTTTTCCCAGAAAGGACTAGTAACTTAAGAATTTCTATTAGATTTGAAGTAATTGTGATTTTTAATAACACCACTCCAACAGCTAATTTTATCATTGATTTCTTTTTGTGATTTTATAGGTTTAGCACAAAATAGGGTCATTCTGCTGTTTGACATTTCAATAGCATCTTTCTGGCCACTAAAAAAATTGTTAATATAGTATATAATAGAGTCGACGCAGATACTAATTGGAAAAGTATCATCTCCTATGTTATATTGATTTGTCGAAGAAGTATCGTTGCCGTATTAATAATACAATCAGAGACCTACAACATTTTTGCAAGCAATACATGTCTCATTGAATATTGGCGTAAAGTGTAAATTTCTATGGCACCACGCAAATATTAAGAGATATACTAATACCGAAAAGAATTTTACATTCTTAAGAAATACTTGTTGAAGGGTGGATTTATATTTCGGCGATAATTTTTATTGCTGGTTTTAATTTTAATCATAATTGTTTTTTTTAATAACAATAAAATTAAATTACATGACAATTTTTTTTTTGTTTTTTGCCAGCTTGTCATTGCTAGGTGTCTGTAAGAGTATATATAGATAAAACTCGTTTTATCCACCAACCTTCTCTGCAGAAGCATTTGTTCTCCTCAATATATTTCCCGTTGTCCAACATATTGTCCGGAAATATGTATTTGTAAGCTCTGAGTCCACTTTTCGTACCCTCTTCGACTGGTATCTGAAAGTAAAAAATTACTCACATCAATAAAGGTATGATGGCAATTCGGTGCCAATTTTAACACATAAAGATTATTTTTTGTTTGTTTCAGATTTATTCCATAATCGGATGTAATTAAAGAAATATAATATACTCGTAATAACGTTACTTCTGTTATTTTAGTTATTTACAGAAAAAACAGAAGGCTATAATTGTCTGATTTTCAAGAACGGCCAAGAATAACGAACAATCATTGTTAATAATAACTTGTTTCTAAAAGCGTTCCATCAAACCAACTCCTGTTAAAGTTTTCGATGCCTTTGTCTTTATCTTGAGGAAAAAAACGGGTTCATATTCCGCTACCAGTTTAAGAAGAACACAGGTACCAAATTCAATATGTATGCAGAAATATCGTCCTATAAGAGCTAGTATATTATAAAAAACTTCATAAAATTCTCACCATTGGAGCAGCCCTGCAGAGACTCTTCCTGAAGAACAGAATGCTCTCGTTTTTTGCCAAACCTCCTTTGAATTTCGTTCCGTCTGATGCCCCTTGGACATTGGAGCAATGCTTGCCCTTCCATTGAGGAAGATCAGGAGAGCCATTATAGGTGTCTATTAAGCCAGACTGGCTGATGTCTGTGGTACCAGTGTATATAGTTTCATAATCACCGTTGAAATCGTACATCTAGAAGTAAGGAAAGAGTAGGTTAAGCATAAAAGTGATATTAGGCCAGTGAGTAGGAACAGAGAGTTTATTTATGTCAATACATTATTTTGCATTGTTTTTTTTGTATGTTATTGAATTTGTTTATTGTATTATTTTTATTGTGTATGTTTCATAAACATGCTATTTAGCTATATAACCCCTTGGAATAGTAGATAACATGGCGAAGGGGAAAATAAAATTTAGCTACCATAAAACCACTATGATTTTGAATATGAATCAATGATAATATAATTGTAAAATCATTGGTATGAATGAAATATCTACGAATTACAATATATAATACAAAACAGTTAAAGGTAACTTTAAATATGTTATTTTTTAAGTGAAAATGTTTTACGTGTTTTTGCCATCTCAGCTTTCACAATGAAACCAGCTAGAAATTCGCTGTAGAGAGACACACGGACGGTGTGCCTTATCATGGCAATTTTTGGAACAAGTTTCTCCGTGTCTCCGTACTTAGGGAAGTAGGTTAAGGTTTTGGCTGCATCTGTTAACATTCCTATAGTACGAACAGGAAGAACATCGAACGATGACCTCTGTGCCTACTGATAGATATTGTGTTTACTTGACTATGACAAAATTGGCTAGATGCATCTGTGCGAGCACAATAATAATACGCTGCACTCGACTCGGTTGGTGGTTTATTTATAGGACATTTATAAATAAGGTGATTATAACTTACCCTATCAATAAGACCCAGCTTATCGAAGTATATCCAGCTCGGCATAAACGTGTTCCCAATAGTCATTAAGCTAGATTCGTGACCCATCATGAATTCTTTTGCAGTCATTTTCACTAACGGCTGACTGTCGGTAATGGAGATCAGGTTGTTTAATCCGAAACGTGTCATGAAGTCTTTCTGCGCTACCACGTTGGCTATGCTCTGGAAACAAAACATAACAGAAATTAACTATCGTTTTTCATTTAATACGGAACCATAGATATTATAAACAAAACCTGCAACAGGGAATTGGAGTTATATAGAAACTCCTTTCCCTTCTTACGATAAAACAAGGACTAACTTAAAGATCAGATTTAAATCATTATCCGACTAAAATAGGTTAACCGTTTCAATTTGACATTTTTTCTTCTGTAATTGTCAATTTGTTTTAGACGGTCAATGGTTTAAGCCGAGTACTAACTTTAATCCTTGTTATCAGGACCTGCCCCGTAGTGCCTGACAACATTTTATCAGACAGTGAACCGCCCTGTTAATACGAGTCATGATTAGGGCGTCAGCCTAGAATGTGTGGTTCAACAGAAGTAGACCTAAACTTAGAGATCAAAGATGTGAGAAGTCAACATTGTAAAATAAGTAGATAATCCGCTATTATATGACAGCGGTTATCTTGGACTTACAATAATACTCGATACACAAATAGTATTGTTATCAAAGCCAAAGGTGCGGGTGTCCATTAATCAATGGACACCCGCACCTTTGGCTTTGATAACAATACTATTTGTGTATCGAGTATTATTGTAAGTCCAAGATAACCGCTGTCATATAATAGCGGATTATCTACTTATTTTACAATGTTGACTTCTCACATCTTTGATCTCTAAGTTTAGGTCTACTTCTGTTGAACGGACAAAGGGACAAAGGGTTTAGCCGGATACGTATGACGAGTCGGCCCCCAAATGGGAATCGATATTGAAACTTATGTTTTAATATAGACTTGATGTTCAAACACGATTTATGTACTTTTCGCGACCGACTTCCGCTTTGACCTTGAGATAGAGAGCAAAATATCCGTATGCTTGACTATTACTGAATGTGATATATCTCTGAAGCTAATTAAGATAAAGAAGTGAAACTAACGCGAGGTGTTAGGTTACATTACAGAGTATATCACATATATTTTTTTATAATTTTTAGAATAAAAAATTACATAAAAAAAATAAAAATAAAAAAAAACATGTTTTTTTATCTGAGTTCTCTGTGACTTACAATCACGAAATTAATATATGTTATGCTCCTTTGTGTACTCTATCACCCATAAAAATTGCGTGAAAAAAAAGTTGGTGCAACACAACGAAAAAAAATTATATGTGATTCGCGCCTTGTAGTGTGAGTGTATAAACAAACAAGTTCGAACTTGTTATCGAGCTGTTTACTGCATCGTTTGTTTAGCTAAAGTAGCAGTCATTTGTATTACACAAGAAGGCAGTTTGGGACTCAAATTCTGTCATAGGTATTTTGTATCAGCATTTTGAAATTATTAACTATCGAACCAAATCATTATTAAGTAATAATGTCGACAAAGTGTAAAAATTGTAACAAGTACCTGTGTAAGATTCCTGGTTATAAAAAAATTATAAAGAATGAAGAAGAAGCTAAAGTGTTTAGTGACTGTTTGAATAAAATCGTAATAGTTAATGATATTTTTTGTAAGAAGTGTCGACTTATCCCATATATTAACAAAAAAGCTTCTACTTCTAAATGTGCAGCATTTAACTTGGCCGAAATAATGGACGATCAAAATAATCTCTCAGTACAATATGTGAAATCAGCACCTAATATCATCAAAGCAGAAGTAAAATCAAGACATATAAATAGAAAAGTCTATCGAATTTACATTCACTATATTTCCGAAGGTAATGACTACAATAGTATTCTTCTTTATTGCTGTGATTGCCCCAATGGCGAACGTACAGTGGGATGCTGTTCTCCTGTAGCAGCTATTATTTATTATCTATCATATGGATGATATTTGTCCAAAATCGTACGTCCTGCTGAGGTCCTAACTAAGTTATTTGCGACTCAAAGTGTTCCGATTGTAATTAATTACAACTGTGACGATGATTAATATTTTGTTTCTAGTATTTTGATAGACACGGAAAAGTAATAATAATAACTATTGAACACTGGCTGTTTTTTTTTTCATTTCTTTTTTAACTATTATCCCATCTCTTAAGACTAGTTACTTATGTTTTAAAACAAGCTGATGTGAAATTTCGAATAAAAATACAATGATGTAATGTGAAAACCTTATAATACAGGGGTATACCATAAGACAGAAATCACATATATTTTTTTTTCGTTGTGTTGCACCAACTTTTTTTTCACGCAATTTTTATGGGTAATAGAGCACACAAAGGAGCATAACATATATTAATTTCGTGATTGTAAGTCACAGAGAACTCAGAAAAAAAACATGATTTTTTTTATTTTTTATTTTTTTTATGTAATTTTTTATTCTAAAAATTATAAAAAAATATATGTGATATACTCTGTAATGTAACCTAACACCTCGCGTTAGTTTCACTTCTTTATCTTAATTAGCTTCAGAGATATATCACATTCAGTAATAGTCAAGCATACGGATATTTTGCTCTCTATCTCAAGGTCAAAGCGGAAGTCGGTCGCGAAAAGTACATAAATCGTGTTTGAACATCAAGTCGATATTAAAACATAAGTTTCAATATCGATTCCCATTTGGGGGCCGACTCGTCATACGTATCCGGCTAAACCCTTTAAAGACCAATTCTCTTTATTTAAACAAAGCTTTTCAGTTTACATTACGCGACTTACATTGGACAAAAGATTTTACATATCTATTATATTTGGAATTTACTTTAATGCAAATGTCAATAAATCTTAGGTTAAGAAGCTACTGTTGGCTTGACCCGAATACTTAGCCAGATCGTTAATTGTAAGTACACATATTTATGTAATCAAGCAGCCTTAGATTTAAAGACTAGGGGAACAAATTTAAATATTCTGATGAAGATTAGTACGTTCCGTCTCACGTTTTTGTTTTTGAAGTATATTCCTAATACCCTCCGTAGCCAAGTGGTTGCTTTAATACTTTAGTATAAACTATTGAGTTGGCTACATGATGTATGATTTAAATCAGTTCTATACGTCACTTGCTGTGCTTATGTGCTTGTGAAAGTAATCTCCATTACTGCTTTCATAGGAACTATGTTAAATCTTTACTATTAAGTTAATAATGGATAATGCAAGCTCGCATTTTCCCGACTTAAATAATTGCAGTAAATCAATCTCACAAAATGATAGCTTAAATTATAGTCTGTGAAAATTACCAATAAGCAATTTTCTATGATCCTTCAATATGCATGCATTAACTTTCGAAATTATTAGAAAATATTGTGAGAAATCCCATTTTTTCTTTTAATTGTAGTAGGATATATGTATATAGCGCTATCTTATTTTAAGACTGATTATAAAAGTGAAAACAAGAGTTAGCTACAAGGACAGTTAATAAGACAAACAGAGACAAATCACATATGCGTGTAGCTCGAAAAATGTGTTTTATTATTATTATTTTATTTTTTTAAATATCTTATTGTTGTGAAAATAATATACATTCCAGCAATACTAATATCTAAGCAAGATTGGATTGAACGGTACAATTATATAATGTATGTAAAGACTTATTATTAAATTTTCCTGCAATATATGCATGTTTGTTACAATTATTCGTTTCCATTGATTTTCAAATCAAAAGTATTTTACATAGGTCACTTTGGTACACTGATGTCTAAGTTTTTCTCAACGTAATTTATAATATATAGGACAGTTATTATTGATACTAAAATATCTTCTTTATTTCACGGTAGGTAATTCACTAATTACCAATTTCTTTATTTATTTATTTGTTGATTAGGTAATTCGTCATAATTCAAGTATTCCAGCGTACTGGAAAATCATGATTCAAGAACTAAAACCTTTGCATAAACTGTTTTTTTTCAGTTTATTTGACAATTTTTTTTTTTAATTATTAACTAATACTTCTCGATCTATTACTGTAATTATCAATAAATCCTTTTGTCATTTTTATAACAAGTACAGTGAAAAGTATGAATTTGTCACGCCTAATACAATAAAAAAGTGCAGAAAGCTAAGACATTTTTGGACTAGAATGCATTGTAAATACAGCTTCCGCCTGCAGCTTCACCTGCTTCCAAAAGGAATCGTTTAGTGGGATGAAAAGTAGGCTATAGG